TTCTGCAGCTGCAGTTTTTCTCATATGGATCCGTTTGTTTTCCTCGCAGTGCGGGCAGTACTGATGGTGCTTTCGGCGCCGTAAAGAACCCCTGGGGTTACGCCGCGCCCTACAGAGAGCGGACGAAGGCAGACCCGGACTCGGACTGGGTCGTCACCGGAGGCAGTTCAGGTGGAAGCGCCGCAGCTGTGGCCTCGCTCACCAGCTACCTGTGAGGAGACGCGTTCACGCTCTCGTCTTCAGTAAGACCGTCAGGATCTCCGTCTTTACATGTGATGCTCTTCTTGGCAGAGCTTTGGGGTCAGACACGGGCGGATCCACGCGAAACCCCGGGTCGTTGTGTGGCGTCGTGGCCCTGAAGCCCACGTATGGTCTGCTGTCCAGACACGGTCTCATCCCCCTCGTTAACTCCATGGACGTCCCGGGCATAATGACGCGCAGCGTGAACGACGCGGCCGTCGTCTTAGGTGAGAATCCCCCAGGTGACCTTGGACATCAACACGCAGCAGCTCTGAATAAGAACGTCTGCCTAAAGGAAACTGCAGCCGTCTCATATCGCAGCACAGCGGCCAAACGACTCACCTGATCATGTTGTCGTGTCGTGCAGGTATCCTCCAAGGCCTCGACGTCAGAGATTCAACAACAGTTCCCGCCCCGTCATCACTAACAGAGCTTCCTGAAGACTTTGATGTTAGGAACATCTGTGTGGGCATCCCTAAGGTGACACTACAAACTACCTCAGCATTACACGCCAACATGTTACTTTGCAGGAGTGAATATTGAGGTCAGCACTGAGATGATTGATGATTGCAAAGGCAGGTAGATGAAAGTCGAGTGTGAACGACACGTTGAGCCGTTGTTCGTCTCTCCTGTGCTGCCCGTCAGGAGTATCACGCCCCGGGCCTCTCCGAGGAGACTCTGGCCCAGTGGAGCAGCGTGGCCGACTTGTTTGAGGAAGCCGGAGCGCGGGTGGAGCGAGTGTCGCTCCCCCATACGCAGTACTCCATCGTGTGCTACCACGTCCTGTGCCACGCCGAGGTGGCGTCCAACATGGCCCGGTTTGACGGCCTGGAATACGGTAATGAATGGTGCTGTGGTGTGTGGGTTTGGCACTTCTTATAGTGGGTGTGATGAAGTGTGACTCTGCCAGCAGGCCACCGCAGCCAGACGGACGGCTCGACAGAGGTCATGTACGCCTCGAGCAGACACGAGGGCTTCAACGACGTCGTCAGAGGGAGGATTCTGTCCGGGAACTACTTCCTGCTAAAACGGTGAGACTGAGCCGCCGTGTTTCCGAGCCACGGAGGGATCCTGTGATCCTCTCCATCTTTTTCTAAACAATAATCGCATCTTTTTATCTTCCCGCAGGAACTACCAGCACTACTTTGTGAAGGCTCAGAAAGTTCGCCGGCTCATCGCGAATGACTTCCAGCACGTGTTCAGCTCTGGTGTCGACGTGCTGCTGACGCCCACCACGCTGACGGATGCGGCTCGTTACCGCGACTTCACTCAGGAAGATAACCGAACGCGCAGCGCACAGGAAGACGTCTTCACGCAGCCCGCCAACATGGCAGGTAGGCACTGAAGCTGCATGCAGAGGAAGTGTGGGAGGAGCATTTAAAT